TTGGTGGCCATCTTGGGTCAGCAGAGTCTTTATAAGTCCCTGCCTCCAGGTTTTGGCACACATTTTTGAAGTGGTGAGAGTAGGGAAAGAACACCCACCTATCAGGGAAAGTGATAACAGCAGGGAAAGTGTCAGGGATCCAGGTATGACCAGAGATGTGTGGACTGACACAGGGAAACAGCAAGCTTCAAGTATGGTGAAATAATAATAAGATTTATTATTAGCTGCACAAAATAAACAAACGCAGTGCAAACAAAACCAAACCTTAACTAATACTAATATGTGCAAGGCAGCAGGCAAAGGGTAGTCAGGTCACTCGCCGGGTTCGGTAGCGGGGGTTCAGATCAGAATAGGGATGTCCAGAAGAGTAGTCAAACGAGCCAGGGGTCAGAGCAGGAGAAGTCAGCAGAGGTCAGGATTAAGCAGGGTCGGCAACAAGTCAGTTAGGCAGAAGAACAGGAACACAGGATACAAGGTAAAGGGGCTCATGGGAAACAACACCAAGGCACTTATTGCAAGCCTGGTCCTGCTTAAATAGACCTCCTGCAATCAGCCTCAGGTGATGGCTTGATTGCAGGAGTGAGACCCTGGCTGCTGAAAGCACCCTCTGGTAGGAGCTGGTACTGCAAGTGAGCCACAGTACCACCAGTGGTGAGTCCATTCCTGACAGAAAGGTTCCAGATGAATAGGGACAGGCTAAGGACTTGAAACCCTTCATGGAAGCCTCTCCTTTGGGACTGGACCAGCAAGGACGCATTCCACAATCTGAAGACAGACGCTGTCGGTGCTGTACCTCTGCATTGAACTGAACTGTGAGTGTTACCCTAAGCAGTGCTCTCCCGCTGGGGTTGTTTGTAGTTGTCATTCTCTGCAATACAATTCTCTGCGTTTACCTGCAACTGGACCCTTTGTCTTTACTGCCGCTGCACCATGCTGCACCTATTCACATATAGTCAAAACACACTCTGTGTCTTAGGATGACATCGCTGTGGTGTACGATTGTCACTGTAGGACAGGAAGTGTGTGAATGTCAAAAAGATGAAAATAAAGTAAAGAAAACTAATGCAGTCATCACATCTAAGGACTGGTAAGTTGTAATGCTATCATTTTTTTTTCTGGGTTTAGATACACTTAAGGCCTCAAAGAAAAATGTGCCTAAAGCTGCGTTTTGCAAACATGTTTAGTTGCATCAAGTATTTGGGCTGTCATACATTTCACTGGCCAGAATATTATTATAGTCTGGCCATTGTAATGAATGTATGCTCAAGCGCCAAACGCGTCTGGTATTTAGGCGCATTTTCGGGCATCAAGCATTTTTTTTTCTGCCCTATTGCTCCTCTTCTGTAAGTGCAAGTGATTGTTTTTTTTTTTACTCTGTAAGTGCTTCTGTTCTAATACACCTGTAAATGCCACATAGGCCAATATAGAGGTGCATTTAGATGTTGGAAAAAAAAATCAAACACCTGTAAGAGCGTTGTTTTTTGCGTATTATGTACAGAGGCCTAAAGCAGTCTTGTAGCTAGCCAAGCGTCTGGAACACTTCATTTTTCTGTAAAGCACCTGGCTTACCCAGAAAATCGGGCAATGTGTAACAGAGAAAATTGTAGTCAGAATAGGGATATGAGGAGAGCAGGGAAGAGTGTATTACATAATTACATAGATAGTCTGGCTGAAAAAAGACAAAAGTCCATCCAGTTCAACAATAAAAAAAAAGGAAATTATAATCCTATACCCACAGTTGATTCAGAGGAGGGCAAAAAAAAACCCAGCAAAGCATGGTCCAATTTGTTCCTGCACGGAAAAAAAATTCCTTCCTGATCCCCCGAGAGGCAATCAGATATTCCCTATATCAATTTTACCTATAAATGTTAGTATCCAGTTATATTCTGTGTATCCAAGAAACAATCAAGGCCTTTTTTAAAGCAATCCACTGAGCTGGCCAGAACCAACTCTTAAGGGAGTCTATTCCACATTTTCACAGCTCTCACTGTGAAGAAACCTCTCCGTGTTTGGAGATTAAATCTCTTTTCCTCCAGACGTAAAGAGTGCCCCCTTATCCTCTGTGATGACCTCAGGGTGAATAGCTCTACACCGAGTTCACTATATGAACCACTAATGTATGTATACATGTTGATTATATCCCCCCTTAATCTCCTCTTCTCAAGAGAGAAAAAATTCAGTTCCTTTATTCTTTCATCAAAGCTGAGCTCCTCCATGCCTCTTATCAGTTTGGTTGTCCTTCTCTGTACTTTCTCCAGTTCCCCAATGTTCTTTTTGTGACTTGGTGCCCAAAACTGAACTGCATATTCCAGATGAGGTATTACTAATGATTTGTGCAGGGGTAAAATGATATCTCTCTCTCTCTGGAGTCTATACCTCTTTCATATAAGAGAGGATTTTGTATTAGAAAGCTATTTGCAGGAATTGGGTTACTTTTCCCTGTAAGGCCCCTTTTACATGGACATTCCAATCGGGTCCCCCTGCCTGTCTTTCAGGTGGACCTGATGGGAACCTATATTCTCCCCTATAAAGCGGCGGGTGTAAATGGACGAGTCCATTTAAACCTTGCTGACAACCAATCCAATCTCCCAAAAAGTGACGGATGGGGATCCATTCCCCTTCCATCCATCGGATCAGATGGAAGTTGGATTAAAACGATCAGGCAATCCGTTTCCATTCGACAGCCCATAGAGCACAGCAGGCTGTGTCCGTGTCTGCTCTGCATAAGCAGAGCAAACATGGACTTGTCATCTGCTTGCTTAGCAGGGATCAGCAGACAGATCCCCTGCTGAGCAAGTGGATCTGCAGATGGATCCACCCCGTGTAAAAGGGGCCTTAATCAGCATTTTTCACATAAGCCAGGTGCCTTTACAGACAAACTAAATGCATAAACACTATTATCTACCTTGAGTTTGTGTGTGGCTGGAATGGCACAGGTTTGCTTTAAAAAAACCTATACTGAGGAATTGTGGAGGCTGGCATTGCTGACCTCTCTTTATGAAAATGCCAGTTTCCCAGCTGCCATGCCAGATCAATGGCTTAATGAGTCCACCAATGTGAGTTTTGAATTCACATTGACTTTTCTGATCTAAATATTTGTTCCAGATCATTGACTCACAAATTGTTAAAGCCAGATCTACAATGGCAATCTATTTCTCTCAGTACAGGTTTCTTTTCATCTTCAGTCTTGGCTTGAACATACAGTACCTACTTATGCAGAGCATGTGATACTATGTTGTATCCATCACCTTATTTCAAAGATAACCCAGTCTGACAACCAGTTGAGTGCTTGCTCATAAATATAAAACACAGTTAATGCGAAATGTCAAGCGGATGTGAAAGACACAAATGAACACAGCTCTGTATTGATCATTAGTACATCATTAACTTTGGAGTTCAAGTTTAAGCAGTGTAAGTTCCTGAATTCAAGTTATTATCAGCAATCTTCCAAACCTTGCCCATAGATACCAGCAGCCTATAGTTCAAAGTGTTAAATATACTCAGTGGAATAACTCAGACTCTTAAAGGAAAGTTCACCTTTGGGAATGTTACATGTTCCCATAGCTGCAGCCCAGCCATGCTCAACGCCCCCCCCCCCCCTCCACCCCCAAAGTTTCTCCATACTACCTGTCAGATTTGAAAACAGCGCAGTCGTACGGGGCTCCGCCTACACAGCCGCGTCATTCATTCACAGACTTCCGTGGATGAATGAACAACAAGCCCCAACAGCCTTAGTGGCTGTGGGATTGTTGTTTTGAATTAACTAACACGGCACTGGGGAGCACTATGGTAGTTCATTGAAGCTTTCTGTCAGAATATCTGCTTGGCTGTACATCCTGTACTGCAAGCAGATATTCTGACAGGTCTGCAGACCTGCATGTGATCTACTGGTCACTGGTGCAATGATTTGCAGGTTCCTGCAGACAAAAATAATAAATGCACATTTTTTTTACCTGCGAAAACATGTGCATTAATTATTTTTGTCCAAAAGATGAACGTATCCTTTTACCACTTCCGCACCGCCCTATAGCAGAAATACTGCTACAGGGAGGCACAGGTGTGCAAAATCACGTGTATATATATATATATATACACGTGGTTTTGCAGTTCTGGGTAGAAGCCCTACCTGCGCCGCCATTTGCGGCCTCGGCTGTCAATCACCGGGTCCCGGCCGGTGATTTCTCGCCGGCACCCGGTGATCGCCAAGTATCTCTAATGGGGGAGAGACCTGTTTATAAACAACACAGATCTCTGCCCTGTCAGCTCCTGCACACTGCTTTGTATGGCTCTGCAAAACACTCACACAGCACACAGTTACCCCTTTGATCGCTTCACATGTCAACCCCTTCCTGTCCAGTGTCATTAGTACAGTGTCAGTGCTTTTTTTTAGCACTGATCACTGTATTGGTGTCACTGGGGATGTCAGTGACATCAAGTCAGTTCCCCTCAGTGTCAGAATGCCCTCCGCAGTCCTGCAGTCCCGCTATAAGCCACTGATCGCTGCCATTACTAGTAAAAAAGAAAAAAAAAATCCTGTATATATATACTGCCATTTGTAAACGCTATAACTCTCACGTAAACCAAATAATTTACATATATTGGGATTTTTTTTTAGCAAAGACATGTAGCAGAATACATTTTGGCCTAAATTTATGAAAAAATTTGTTTTTTTTTTTTTTTTTTTACTGGACATGTTTAATAGCAAAAAGTCAAAAATATTGCTTTTTTTCTCAAAATTGTCGGTCTTTTTTTCTTTTTAGTGCAAAAAATTCAAAATGCACAGTCGATCAAATACCACCAAAAGAAAGCTCTATTTGTGGGGAAAAAAGGACATATATTTTATTGCATGACAGCGCAATTGTAAGTTAAAGTAACGCAGCGCCGTATAGCAAAAAAATGGCCTGGTCAGGAAGGGGGGGTAAATTATCAGGAGGGCAAGTGGTTAACCAATGACCCTCCAGCATCACTCACTAATTGTTGGACTGACAACCTTCCATTCAACTGCTTATTAACCCTCCTCTTTTTCAAATGTCCACATCTTATCTCCTTATAAGACAGACTGAACCATAGCCATTATGCACATGCTCAGTTTAGTGTGTATTGTTAGAGAGGTTTTTTGTTTTCCTGCGAGAATGCATGTGATCAGCACAGGGCCAATCAGCACTGTCCAGACAGAGGTCAGGGGTTCTGCATCCTCCTAGAGCAGAAAGAAAACTCCTCCTACAAGCTTTAACCAGTGCTCTACTGAACACTGGTAGAAGTCACAAGACTGCTCTAACAGCCGATGAGAAAAGGTATTTAGCTGTTTATATTTACTAACATAATTGCATTTCTATGTTCTGTGTGCTGTGGGAGACCAGATATAGTGAATGCAGGGTCCTGGGTTTAGTAACACTTTAAGTCAAAAAATATTACAAAAAAGCCACCAAAACAGTTAAAAATTAAGAAAAAATGGACCAATAAAAAATCCCAAGGTATAAAAAAAAATTTACTATACATAACTGGGTGCTGAAGTAAATACATCCCATATGAATATTTAACATTGCCAGAGTATGCTATATTCATAAAAATATTTAAAGCTGAAGTCCAGGATCTGTCATTTTGTTCTTTAAACTTCCATTGGTCCAACTTGGTTACATCTAATTCTTCATATCTCAATTCTGGAGGGCCACTGGGGATACAGAAATTCACGTTGGTGCTGTTTGAGTGATTTGACATCTGTATAATGATCACATGGGCACTGGGGTCTAGCTCAGCACCTCTGCCATTCAGAGAACGTCTTGTATTTTACCAGGCTGGACCAATATAAGATATAAAAACAGGATAATTCCTAGAGTTCAACTGTAAATGAAGGACAGCTGGTAAAAGTCATATAAAAAATACACAATAAAAAGCCAAGTAAAACGTGAGTAAAGAATACCATTCATAGGAAATGTAATCATGTGCTGCACAGTGATTCGACCCTCAAGAGATCTTTTGTAATATGACATGCAAATCCACCGTTTAGTGCGTAGCAGACAATTTCCCTGTTATTCCCAATAGGAAGTGCAATGTTCTTGAAGGTTTTTCTGCTTGATTAACAAAGAACAATAGAGGATCTACTGAAATTTGTCGACCTGTACACTCCTTTTTTAACTGCTATACTTCTCTTTAAAGCAGTAATTAGTTTTTTTTTCTAAAAGTCAGTAACCAACCCCCTTGGCTTTAGCATGAATATAATTGAAAGGAGCAGAATTCCTTGGATTAAGCTATAAGATTGCTGCTCTCTGCACAGCCTGTCCTCTGTCCACAAACACTATGATCCAATGTTCTAGCCCAGGGCATACACTAGCCTGTGGACTACTGGTCATTGCTATAGATGTAGTCATTCTGGGCTCCATTTCAGCACAAATCCTGGAGGGACCTGTAGTCTTCTAGGGCCATTTGATCAATATTTCTCTATATCTTGAATTAATGACAGTTATGACATGTGGCTTTTGCTGAAAGTAAAGGCTGCTGATGTATTTTTTCAATGCATTTCACTCGACTTGTCCTCAGAACCTATAATAGGTGTGATTTACGGCAGAAACACATTGTTGTGATACAAGAATGCGGCATTAAACCCAAAAGCAAAAATGTACTTTAAACCCAAAAGCACAAATTATGACTAATTCAATAATTGGATTTGGTGGCTTTTCCCCCTCTGTTTTCACCTAGTGATCTGGCCAGTAACACACCTCCTGTATTAGAGTGCCACTACTCTGGATGAAGGAGAGCAGGGGCACCTTTGGACTGCAGCATTTTCAGCCTGGGGGGAGGGGAATGTTAATGTACTAGCAGATTTAAACACACTAACAAAATGACGCCAAACTCCAGCGAATACTTTATAAGCAGTTAAAGGATAAAAGGTTTTACATAAATGAATAGAAGCTAATCATTCTAAGCACACCTGTCAGTTGTAAATGGTCTGTCTCAACCCTCTAATTGGTACATCTGCAAAACCGCTTGTTGTGTTGAAAAAAAACACAGACTTACTGACAGGATCACCAGGTGAAAATAAAGGAAAGAACACCTAAAAAGGAAACATATGCAGCCATCACATCTAAGAATTAGTAAGCTGTAAAATATGTTTGCTTTTGGGTTTAACCATACCTCCCAATTGTCCCGGATTCCGCGGGACTGTCTCGAGATTTCAAGTCAGTCAAGGGCTGTGGATCTGGGCTGGAGTCCCTGAACCAGTTCTAGCAGCTGGTTTCACTCAGTGGGGGTGTTCTCCATGGATGCAGTGCATGCTCACATAATGCACCCAGTGAGCATTCCTGCATGCCTGCACTCTCTGCCGCCCCCTCACTTCAGTCTTCCTTTCAGTCATTTGTTGCTAGGACCGCCGGCGTCCTAGCAACTGATTATGCACTTTGCAGTTACAGACACTAGGAAGAACATGCAAGTCACTTCAGGACCTCCCAAGTTTGCCCTCCAACTCTGGCTTCCACTGTCTCCATGGGACTGTGAAAGGTATATACAGTTGCAAGAAAAAGTATGTGAACCCCTTGGGATTACATGGAGTTTTGCATGAATTGGGCATAAAATGTGCTCTGAATGTCATCTAAGTCACAACAATAGAAGAACACAATCTGCTGAACATAATACTACACAAACATTAGATGTTGCCATGGTTTAATTGCACATAACATGTAAACATTCACAGTGCAGGGAGGAAAAAGTATGTGAAACCTTTGGACTTAATAACTGGTTGACCCTCCTTTGGCAGCAATAACCTCAACCAAACGTTTCCTATAGTTGCAGATCAGACCTGCACAAAGATCTGGAGTAATTTTGGACCACTCCTCTTCACAAAACTGTTTCAGTGTAGCAATATTCTTGGGATGTCTGGTGTGAATCTCTCTCTCTTAAGGTCATGCCACAGCATTTCAATCGGGTTGAGGTCAGGACTCTGACTGGGCCACTCAGAAGGCATATTCTGTGCTGTTGCAGCCATTGTTTTGTTGAATTACTTGTATGCTTTGGGTCATTGTCCTGTTGCATCACCAGCATCCTCTGCCATGGAGAACTCTTCAGTTGGCGGACAGATGGTCATAGAGTTTTCCTGCAAAATGTCTTGATAAACTCTGGTAATTCATTTTCCCATCAATGACAACAATCCGTCCAGGCCCTGAGGCAGCAAAGCAGCCGCAAACCCATGATGCTCCAGGGACTCCACCATGTTTTACAGTGGGGATGAGGTTTTGATGTTGGTGTGCTGTGCCTTTTTTTCTCCACACTCCTAGTGTTGTGTGTTCTTCCCAAACAACTCAATCTTGGTTTCATCTGTCCACAGTATATTTTGCCAGTAGTGCTGTGGAACATCCAGGTGCTCTTTTGCAAACTTCAAAAACACTATGCTGCAATATTCTTTTTGGCACAGCAATGGCTTCCTCCGTGGTCATCCTCCAAAATACCTCCATCTTCTTGTTTAATGTTTTCCTTATTGTAAGATGTGTCAACAAAAATGTTAGCATGTGCCAGAGATTTCTGTAGGTCTTTAGCTGACACTCTGGGATTTCTTCTTTACCTCATGCAGCATTCTGCGCTGTGCTCTTGCAGTCATTTTTACAGGACGACCAAGCCTAGGGAGAGTAGCAACAGTGCTAAACTTTCTCCATTTGTAGACAGTCTGTCTTATTGTGGACTACACATGAACATTCAAGGCTTTTGGAGATACTTTTGTAACCCTTTCCAGCTTCATGCAAACTCAACAATTCTTGATCGTAGGTCTTCTGAGAGCTCTTTTCTGCGAGACATGGTTCACATCAGACAGTGCTTCTTGTGTCCCAACCCTAAACCCAAAACCGGTGTGTGTGTTTTTTAAGGGCAGGACAGCTGTCAGGAGCAACATATCCAATATCATCACACTGATTGTAAGCTGTCAAGGTTGGCTCACTCCCAATGGCTCCCGGATTAGCTTTGAGAGAAGTCATTAAACTAGGGCTTCACATGACTTTTTCCTCCAGCTGCACTGTGAATGTTTACATGTTATGTGCAATTAAACCATGGCAACATCTAATGTTTGTGTAGTATTATGTTCAGCTAGACTGTGTTCTTCTATTGTTGTGACTTAGATGACAGTTCAGAGCACATTTTATGCCCATTCATGCACTTCAGGACCTCCACGTAGTCCCCTCCAACTCTGGCTTCACATACTTTTTCTTGCAGGTACTGTACAGTATTTGCTGCCAGTTAAACTGGTTTCATGGAGGGCACCCAGGAGCTCTGAGTAAACCCTGCTGATCCAGATGGCCGCCACCTCCCTGGACTCTTCCAGCCTCTCCACTGCTGCTCCCCACACCTCTCCTGCTCTCTCTTCCAAGGTGCACAGTATACAAGCCCACAGCTGCAGCTCCCTGCTTCTCTGCAGCAGCAGATCATGCAACCTGGTGACTACTGGTCCTCTCCTGCTTGCTCGTGAGCGAAGATGCAGTGGAAGGCAGCTCACAACTGCTCCCTGTCCACTCCAGTCTGCCACCCTGCCACTGCTTCTGCCAGCCTTGCTGTCCACCCCTGCATGAACTTGGACTTTTGTCAGCTAGTGAGTTGAAGAGCAGTACTGATCCCTATCTGTCCAGAGTTCCTGCTCTGCCAATGTCTTTCCTGACCTCACTGCCTGTTGCTGAGACTGTACTGTCCCCTGCATTTCTCCAGCTGCACTCTCAGTGGTCCACAGAGCAGTGGGTGCGGCCCAAAATCTAACACGACTATCTGGTTTCGCACCCCGCAACAGTCCCCTGACTCTTTAGTTGTTTTGCACTTTTCTTTTGCATGCATGACAAAAGGCAAACAATCTGCAATTACGCCTTGACCCCCTAGGCATTAACAGTTCTTGTAGGGTGGGGGATTTTTGCTGGGAGGGGGATTTGTGTCAGGAGGCAGAATTTAGATGAGGGGGGATAAGGAGATTTGTGCTAGAAGTGGGTAATTGGGGGGGATTTGGTGAGGAGGGGTATTTGTACTGAAAGTTGGAGAGGATTTATGCTGAGAAGGGGTATTTGACAGGGGGAGGATTTGTGCTAGGCTGGGGAAATTGGAGGGGAGGGGGGAAAATCGTGCTTTTGGAGAGAAAGGGGATTTGTACTACATGGGAAATTTGGTGGAAGAGGATTTTGGTGGGGAAATTGTGCTGGAAGGGAGGATTGAGATGGAGAAGATCTATGCTAGAAGGAGGGAGAGGATTTGTGCTGGAAAAGGTAAGTGTGCAGATTATTTCTGGATTTTTTTTGGGGGGGGGGGGGGGGCAGAGTGTGTATTTTAGCTGAAAGTGTAAAGTGGGTAGACAGCATTGCTTG